ATCATCATCATCATCATCGGGACACCGACGGGGCACCGACGGGACACGGGCGGGACACCGCGCCGCCCCCGGCCGCCCGGAAGGGAATCATTTCGTCCAGCCGCGCCTCAGCCACACGGGACACCAGCGGGACACCGGCGGGACACCGTGGGCCCCCGGCCGCCCGGAAGGGAGGGCCGGCCGCGCCTCAGCCGCCCGGACAGGGAGTCATTTGGTCCGGCCGCGCCTCAGCCACACGGGACACCAGCGGGACACCGGCGGGACACCGCGGGCCCCCGGCCGCCCGGAAGGGAGACATTTGGTCCGGCCGCGCCTCAGCCACAGAGACTTTCTCCTCGCCGCCACGCAGCTTCGCCTCGCCCGCACGGCACGCACGAACACGAAACCGAAATCGATTTCCCGGTAGGGGGGCTCTCCGTTCCACTTCGATCTCACCCCCTCACCTCCGATACACACATATACACACAGACGCACAGACACACACAAACACACAAGCACGGACACACACACACACAGACACACACACACACACAAAACACACAAGCACACACGCAGACACACACAGACACAAACACACACAGACACACACACACACACATAAACACGCACCCAGACGCACACAGACACACACACAGACACAACCACAGACACACACAGACACACAGACACACACACACACACACACACGCACCCATACACACAGACACAGACACGCTAACAGACACACACGGACACACACAGGCCCACACAGACACACACACAGACACACAGACACACAGACGCACAGACGCACAGACACACACAAACACACAAGCACGGACACACACACACACACAGACACACACACACAAAACACACAAGCACACACGCAGACACACACAGACACAAACACACACAGACACACACACACATAAACACGCACCCAGACGCACACAGACACACACACAGACACAACCACAGACACACACAGACACACAGACACACACACACACACGCACCCATACACACAGACACAGACACGCTAACAGACACACACGGACACACACAGGCCCACACAGACACACACACAGACACACAGACACACAGACGCACAGACGCACAGACGCACAGACACTCAGACACTCAGACACATAGACACACACAGGCATACAGACACACAGACACACACACACACACACAACGTTCACAACAGTGCGCGATCGCCGAGGTCTCATGACCACGAGACGCGAGGTATAGGACAACAACCAAAAACGGCATAAACGTAAACCGTTTGCGCTCCGCGTGGATTTCTTGGATCTGCGCTGGACCCCCCTCCCTGGCGCGCGGAGCGCGCCAGGGGCGGCGTCCCAGGCGTTGTTAGGGGGTCCCAGGCGTTGTTAGGGGGGCCCAGCCCAGATCCAAGAAATCCGTGCGGAGGGCGACAACAAAAATAATGCGTATGTCTGGGGCCGAACCGGCCGCACCGCGGACGCCCCCGCGCTGTGCAGCCCCGCCCCGGGCCTGCCGGCGGCGAGGGGCGCGGGCCGACCGGGGGCTGCAGCGGCACCCCCGCGCGCCGGTGCCGAGCGGGCCATGCACATCCTCCTCGGTCGGCTCGTCTGCGTGGGCGTTCTCCCAAGGCAAGACATCGGCTACACGCAAGAGTGACCCTGGGTAAGAGTGACCTTTGGTGCGCGGCTTTTCGGGGGGCCGCGGGGGCACCAAACACAGGCGCGCAAGGCGCCACTGCCGCCTCGCGCTCGGCGATCGGGGGACCCCATTGTGCCCACACCAAAGGTCACTCCGGCGAAAGGTCACTCTTACGTCTAGTCGAAGACAGAGGAGCTCGGGGGGGATGGGCCGACCCCCGTTGGCGCTGCCCCCCGCCACGCGGGCCCCGACCCGAGAGGCCGGGGACGCGCTGGCCCCGGCCAGTGCGAACCTGGGCCAGCCGGGCTCCGCAGGAGCTGGCAGGATCCTGCAGGGTCCTCCGCGCCAGCCCGGGCCAGTGCAGCCCTGGCGCTGCAGGATCCTGCAGGATCTGGCGCTCTGGCTGGCCCCCGTTTGCATTGACCCCCGTCTCAAGGCTCCCGACGGCGAGGGAGGAGGGAGGCGTTAGATGTTAGATATTCATTCCGGGGACCTTCCTGGAGCCACTCGCTCCTCTCGTGCGTCGCACGTCCGTCGACTCGAGGTGACCTCGAGCCGAACCGGAGTCGAATCTGAGCCGAACCTGAGGCGAACTGGAGTGGAGCTGGAGTCGAACAGCTCCGCTAGACGGGCCCCAGGAAGGCCCCCCCAAACGAGCATCCAGGCTTAGGTCCGGCATGTCCTCCTGCAGGCGGATTTTGGAAGGAACGTAAAAACACAATCAACACATGATCAAAGATGGTCGAAAATAATCCAAAGCTCGTCCCCAGACAAGTTCTGGACCATTCCTGGATATAGTCCTCCTGTAGAGGGACGCGCCCGCCTTCAAGCAGACAAGCAGCACCAACAAAACTCAGGGCGGCGGGCGCGC